TTTAGAGATGTTGCGCAAATGGAAGAAAGCAGTCTTACATATTTGTTTAATATGTGCGTTGAAGGACATGTCCTGGTCAAACATAACTCCCATGACTTCTCACATATTTACTATTTCTCAGGTTACCTGTTGGAAGATCTTGTACAAAAAGTTAAAGCATGTTCTGCACTAAAAGTTGGAAGACAATCTAATTGCATGAATACAGAACATTCTGGTCATCCTGTGAAAAGAGTCGGAGTAATATGAGGTAGGAGCACCTACCTTTAACAGAATGAGTGTGAGGAGCATGTCTCCTCTTGACCACGCAGCGTCCACTGGAGTTTTCCACCAGGGGGCGCAGACAAGGCCCACAGTGGGAGCTGCCAGGCCGGCAGAAGTGTCTTCCTGCCAGGGCACATTCTAAACTCCGAGGGCACAGAGGAGAGCCTGTACATGAACACACGACACAGCACTATTATTCAAAATACTCTGAAGTGAAGACGTCTCACGTTTCTATTTTTATTTTACTTTAATTACGTTTCTCAGTGGTCACATTTTGCTCCCTGATTTACAGTGAAATACTGTCTCAGGCCATTAGTGACAGAATCATCACAACAGCACACAATTCATTATGTTTTAGATCTTAGATATTTGTTAACATACCAACAGAACGACGCCTCCTCTGTTGGTTAGCACCAGTATGGAGCCATAAAAACACACGATATTCTTCTCCAGCAGCTTCAATTTCTAACAAATATTCACTCGAGACAGAGAACAGCTATTCTGACAGACGTGTGCGGTGATAACTGAGCCGTGCTACATTACACTGAGTGTAAAAACAAAAAAAGCAGACAAGCAGAGATCCATAAGTGAAACCAACAAAGTGACACTGAAATAGGTGATTAAGCAGCACCGTCCTGAAGCCTGTTTTATACACATCTGAATGCTAATGACGACCTTACAAAACGCTCATCTCATCGTGTTCAATAGAAAATGAAATGAGCAAAAACGTCTTTTCCTGACAGACTTCTATAGAAACTACACGTCTGTTTGCAAATGAACAAGTTTCTGTCAGATCAGGAAACAAGCTGCTAACTTTTTTTCTTTATGCATCACAAACGCACACAGGAGCTGAACAAGCCGGACTAAAGTACTCTGAGATATTCTATGTGCGAGGCTAAGCTGCTGTTTGTAGCATTTTATTAATATTTTTGAAAAAGTCTTTAAGGGACAAATATATCAAACGAGATATTCTCTTCAGTTTGGTGCTAATTTTCTAAATATTTATAAAAAATATAAAGTACTGAGCAAAGTCTTAATGAAGCTCTTTCATGTCTTTGTGTCTTCCTTCCAATTAACAATTAGCCTGATAAGTTTTAAAGGAGCTTTAAGCCAGTGGTGTCAGATTCGTTTTACACTGTGGGCCACATCAGCCCACTTTGTTTAACTGTTTTTCTACAAGCTGAAGAAAAAGCTGCTGTGACAAAGAAGCAAGTCTGTCAGCACAAATTCAAATTCAAATTTTATTTGTCACATACACAGTACGATATGCAGTGAAATGCTTAGACAACTGCTCGTGACCTAAAGAAAAAAGAAAAGGCTATGAATAAGATAGGAAATAAATATGAAAATTAAAAAGGGTGAATTTAACTAGGAAGGAATAAAATAAAATAAAATATAAAAATTAAGTTAAGAATGAGATAACTGTACAACACAAATTAGAATGAAGGGTAAATTTAACTGGGAAAGAATAAGATAAAATATATAAA